AGAGAGAGAGAGAGAGTTATACAAAGACAGACAGGGAGAGACAGACAGAATGACTGAGACAGATAGACAAAGAAGGGGAAATGAGACTGAAGGAGAGAGAGATAGAACGAGAGAGATAAGGAGAGAGAAATAGAAAGAGAGAGAGAGAGAGAGAGAGAGAGAGAGAGAGAGAGAGAGAGAGATATATATATATAAAGACAAAGAGACAGAGGGACAAAGCGACAGAGATAGACAGACAGAGATGTGGGTGAGAGGCACATGATTATGATACAAAACAGGCCACATCACATGCCGTAGATAAGTGACCTACTTTTACAGCGATCGCCGATTTAAGAGCTCCTGGCAGTCCCTCTCATCGATATCGATGACCGGTCTCAACACCGATTGGGTCTCACCCCCCTGGGTACTGGTCTCACTAGCCGTTATCAACTGTGACAGGCGCATCCACTGATAACTTTGTTTTTCTGATTCCAGTTATCCGCCCCTTTGTTTTCGTGACTAGATGTCCTTCTACTTCTATAGAAATTGTGGAAGGCAATCCGTAAACGGATGATGATGATGATGATGATGATGATTTTAACACACAAAGACACACACACACACAGACACACACAGACACACAGAGAGAAACACATCCAGACACACATCCAGACACACACAAGCATACAAAAATAGACAATCATCCCCCCCTCATATTCTGCACTTATTCCAACAAGACTTCGACCATACAAAATACAATGTACAACCAATGACTTTGATATGACATGTGTGAAGAAATTCAAGACACGCGTTTGAGAAATATTAACCATAATTGGTGACACGTAAAACGTAAAAGCTTTCAGCTACTGAAGCGTGATCAGCCTGTTCCGATTTCAGACATTGACCGTTAAAACCAAGACAGTCACACCAGGTAGGTATCTATCTCATCGTGCTGAAAAAGTTCAGAAGTTTGGAAAAGAGAAGTTGTACGCTGTTGAGGCGAGCTGGTTCCAGTGGGTTGGGGGCCACACCCACCCACACATCAATTATATTGACCATGGTTGCAAGAAATGTTTGGGGAACGCCTTATGAGACAAACGTTTACAAATAAACGTTTGAAACCTTTTGAAAAAAAATATCCTATAGGTTTGTTTGACAGACAGTCTACGACAAAACCCCTCAAGCAATCAAATAAGTGATAATCTATTTTGAACAGGAGGTGCAAAGAATCGAGCCAGAAACATGTCACAGAGTTATTCAAAATGTCCTCTGGGGCTTTTATGGATAGGACTGGTCGACACATGGTGAAAGGAGTATACAATTCAAACAAGAAAACCTTCCCGGAGTTTTTATTGGCAGTGTAAATTTTGTATAAATTCGTAATTCACAGCACAGATATCGTTTATTAGAAATAGAACATTACAAAGTTTTGCTTACACCCATTTTAAATGTTTTAAATTTTTTGTTTGTTTTTGTTTGTTTGTTTGTTGTTTGTTGTTGGGTTTTGTTGTTGTTGTTTTTTTTGGGGGGGAGGTTGTCAAATTTGATATTTTTGAGCTCTATGGTTTGTTTTCTTCATACTTACAAACGATATTATGGTGTCTCCGTGGTTGAATTTTGTTTGTTCTAAGTTGTTTTATCTTTCAATTGGTCCAAAAATGACCGACTTGTTGCTCTTTAAATGACACCTGATACATGTATTAACCAAAATACTAGCGCAAGATTTTTTTAAAGTCCAGAATAAATCCCCAGGGGCAAAATTTCGGTGTATGGCTTCAAGAGAACAAACTGGTTATTTGCTTTAATATTGGAGGTTTCCATACGCTGCTTTTAATGGAGAATAAGTGGTTGACTTCAGACAACGACACACAGTTAAATTGCCGTCCAAGATATTAACCAAACTGCCACCAGCGAGGAAAGATTTACATAATGCCAGACTGGAATGGAACAGTGCCTTACGTCACGTGAGTTGAGATAAACAGTTCACATATCTGTAGCCTTCCAGTGGGTTAAGTAACCGTGACTTACGACATTCTACAAACATGCTGGAGTGTTTCTGAATACATATTATAATACAAAGTCTAAAAACGACATGTAAGCTATCTTTTTATAATGCTACCTAAATTTTCCAATTTCCCCTCTGCCGGGAATAAACATTAAAACGGTTCTAAAGACAAGCAACAGAATGAATAAACCAACGGATGTTAAATTACCCTAACTGCCATGGGAACATGGAGAAATATTCTCGTCTAACAATCGTACCAGTCCACGTCATCATTTTACCTGTGCCATGTAGGCCATATTTAAGGAGTCCGCCAGACACCTATGAGCCCAGTTCCCTGAGGTTTCTCCCAACGCCAGTATGTTGCTCATCCTGTTCTGCGCCACTCTTGTGGTTGTCTATGCTCAGCAACCAACACCCTGCCGTGAGAATATTATTACTTATATTACCTTTCTTTTTTTAAATTTTTAGCAGTGCACGCCTACTCTTTTGGATTCCTCCCCCTTCCGAAGTTGAGCATTCGTTTTCTCTGTTTATTTTTCACGCAAATATTTTCACCAGAACTATTTTTGCCTCACGTTGTTTGTTCATCTGATTTTGACACTGACAGTTTGGCAGCTATGAAAATTATTAGGGCAGATAATAATAATAGCAATAATAATAAATGACATTTATATAGCGCTCAACCCCGAATAAAGTACACAGGCTCTGGGCGCTTTACAATACAGTACAACATACAACAGAAACATGAAACGTTATGTTCTGACTAAAGAAAATTATTCCAAATATTCATCTTATTAATT